AACGGCTGCTAGAGGGCTAACACCACCGATAATAAGTCATTTTAAACCAATTTTCAACTTTTTCATGATATTTTTATTTTTATGATATTTTTATATTTTTTATCTCATTGTGATTTACCACTTTCGCGTGCTTTTTCGAGTTTGTTTATAGAAACAACTTTTGTTAAATAGAGCGAATTTCGTATGAGTGGGAAACGGACGGTACTGTACTGTGTCCGTAATCGTACTGTAACCAAATTCTAGTTCCCCATTGTTTCACCAAAATTCTGCAGGCCAGGTGCGGTAACTGTGCAGTAACCGTGCGGTAACGGTGTCCCACTCATACGAAATCCGCTCTAAGGTGTACACACCGTTCTATATTTACTCTATTCGCAGAGTATTTATTTGATGCATGATCCCCTGGCACGCTTCTGGATCTGCCGTTGCACAGATGTTTTAAGATTTTACTACAGCTAAAGCGTACTAGGGATTTTTGGTGTCTGTTTTTCCCAATTATTTGAATGAGATATATATGAAAATAAATAAAGGATGGCTTGAGAAAGACTTTAACTTTATTGAAGTAAACTTGCAATGTACAATATTCTATTTTGGTGTTATCAAGAAGCCAAATTTTTCGGCGATATTGATATTATATGTAATGAAACTTCAAAAGTTTCTTTAATTTCTTTAATTTTCTTAGTGTAGATATATATTACATAAACAAAACAAAAAACAATTTCTTTCCGATTCATATATTTAATTTGCCGAAGCGGTAAAAGTGTCGCGAATTGTATTTGTCTCTTGACATTTTGATATTAAAAACACTACGGTCTTTATTACAAATCTTTTATTAAAGTGTAATATGGACATTGCCTTCACCATCTGCAGATGTTTTTGACATTTTCCCGTATCTTTTGACTCTTAAAACTAAGTTGTTTGTGGACTATAGCTACAGATGCCTATTAAGGGTCTGTAACATCTGAACTAGAGCAGAAAAATAACGGTCCTCACTTAGACCGCATAATCATTTCAGAATGAACACATCCTTTGTTCACTCACAAAACTTGACAATCCATGGTGTGAGTTACTGTAAAAGGTACGATCCTGGAAACGCTTTGACACGAACAACAAAAAACATGGCAATTTTTTTATCAGGCGGTTTTGGTATCTTTGCCAACATCTTCGTCATCGCCCTTGCTGTAAAATACACTTCTAAAACAAGGCTTCATCCTTGGATCATCAACATGGCCATGACAGATTGTTTTTACTCTCTCTTAGGGTTATTGCGAGAAGCTTACAGTATTCAGATTAAGTTTCAAGCAACTTCATTTTTTTGCAAGTCTTTCTTTGTATTCTTGAATGTTCCGTCATTGGTTTCTTTG